GAACACTCTGGAATGCCGAGGCAGATTCAACTGAGATCCGTTATTTGACTGCACTTCGGATGCTAGGGACATCTGTTAACATTTTAGGAAAGGAGAATGAATAAGAATAGTGGAATTAAATTTTCTTTTTTTATCAAAAGTAACACTAACCTTTAATGTATAATGGCTCTGGAGTAAATTTAAAGAAATTTCACTAAAGGAAAAAAAAACGTAAGGAACAAGAAAAAGTCAGCATAAATTTACCTTGCTAAAGAGTTCAATTGGTGGGTTATGCTGAATCCTCTTTTCCGTATGAAAATTAAATTCCTGTATGAATTGAAGCAAGAAGTGATTTCGTCGTGTTTTTTTTTTTATTCAAAGTCTCCTAATTATTAAGGGGAGAAAATACAAACGAACCAACTCACCATAGGCACAGTGGTTTCCTGCTTTCTGTTCCGGAAAACACCAATATCTCCTTTACTTGAAAGAATCTGCATCGGCACTTTACAGTAGGTAGTACAGCAGACAAACAAATAACGGGAAGAGAATAGTTGAACGTACTTGATACAGATAACAGAATGAAAATGAAGTATTCTAATAGAAATTCATCTGAACTTCCACGTTTTCATTGACATCTCTTTCAAAGATCAGACTACTTCAATACATAATAACAATAAGCAAAAGAAAATTTATAAACAAATTAGAGTTACCAAGCTTTCCTTCATAGTATTTATATTGACTTAGAGAATAAGTACAATAACATGAATTTTAAAGGAAGTTCTCTTGACGAACTGCTTCAGAAATAAATTTATGCTAATCTTAGACTGGGTCTTAAAAATAAAATTATCTTCTGATTTCACAGAAAAAAAAATGACAAGCAAAAACAAAAATAATAGAGTTGAAAACTTGTATACAGAACAGCAATTTTAAGATGCAACTTCATCATAACTAGTGACATAACATTTTTGCAACTTTTCTTCTTAAAAAGTTTTAAGAAGTAAAGACAAACAGAATTTTAAGAAAAAACAGCAATCCTTTTTTAATGAAGAATTGAAAAGGGAACTATTACAAAAAAAGCTTGTTTTGGAGCTTTAGACTTTGACTTCTTTATCGTTCTTTGTTTCAACTTGAAAATATCTTTTAAGCATAAATTTTATATTTTATTGCTAAAAAGCATGAACTTAAATTTAAAGTTATTATTTTTTATGACAACTTTAAAGTAGTTTTTAAGCTCTTAAAAAGACGAGCCAAACTCTACATTTTGACTCTAACAAAAACAAATTTTATCAAAAGACAATTTAGTGAATTAAAAGATAAAATAAATAAATAAATAGTCTGGCTGGTGGAAAAATATACAATCTTCCATTATTAATTTCATCATTATTTATGTTTTTAAATACAGATACATACGGTAACTAAACTATATAATACAAACTATAGCTGCTTTTCTACATGAATCGAAGTTATCTCATCATCAATATGAATTTCTTTGTAGACCAAAGGCCTGCTTGTTTTACACCCAGAATTAGTTTGATTGGTAATATATCTCGAGACTGAAAATTGTATTTGTATGAATGATGTATAACCATGTTTTATGATAAAAAACCCCATATTGGTTATGCAATTTGATTACATGTATTCATTGAGCTCTACAAATCGTATATATAGACTATTTTTAATTGGAGATAGATGCTTGGTTAAAAGTAAGAAATTTGAAAATGTTAACTCATACTACTGGAATATAATTTAAAGTTCATAATTTAATTTCTTCATATAGCTGTAGTCCAGGTATCTTCTTAACAACTTTTTTGCTAATATAATATCTCATTACCTTCTTATTGAGAGGCCGAGCTTTAAAACTATGTGCAAAATCCAATCCATCATGCTTTGGAGCACCCATGGCAGACGGTCTATGCAAGGTAGTATTTTGAAGTTAGTACCTTTGTTCCATGATTTACTTGGTTAAATTCAAATGTTAATTCTAACATTTATCATCACATTTGTTACCTTCTCAAATCCCTGATTTTATATTCTTGAGCAGTAACAGCAGTATGTTTGTCCAAATCCTGCAACCAGCTAACTTCAGTTTCCCAGAGATTACTACACATATCTATCTTGAAACAAGAAACTAAAGCAAGACAATGCAGATCAAAATCACAAGCAATTGAAGGTTCAGAAGTTTCATGACCAATGTAATTCATACATCGGGTACAAGAAAAATTAATGACGTTGACAGAATACAGCAATGTGAAGAGCCATTAATGTTACTACTTAAAACTGTGCGAACTAAATTAACCTTATTAGAATCATTGCAGTGAAGTGAAGATGATGAAGTCGTAGATGTAGATGTATGCTGCATGGCCCTCTCTTGTGTCTTAAGATGAAATTCCTGAGAAGCAAGACATAAAAAAAAAAATCATTGGTTCATCATGATGAAAAATGGCAGAAGAAACTTGTTTGCTTAGTTAATCATTGGTTCAATTCTTTTCCACTTCTTGTATTATTGTCTCTACGGTACTCTCTGTCTAGTATTAGTGTAAATGTCTAGGTTCGGCATATCATTTGCATACAATAACTAGGAAAACTGGATATTTGCTTTGTATGTATTATTATAATTAGAGGGGCCGTTGAAATACTTCATGTTCATTAAAAAAAAAAAAAAGCCCTAGTAAATTAAGTTAATTAATATGTATACCAAGTCATTGTAGACTTGATCCTATTCAAATATCATTCCAAAATAATAGCCAGCGAGCAAATTCCCTTCATCCCATTTTTCCCATCATATCGTCATCAAAGTAATAAAAACGCTTCCAATTAAGGCTGAGGATTCAGAAATTTAGTAGTATCATTTAATGACTGATAACTAAAACAAATACAAAAAGGAACAAAATTATATTTCACAATTCCATAAGCTATTCTTTTGTCCTTGATCTATTGAGGCCATCTTTCCTCACGGACGATTCCTTGTTTAATAAAATGAACAAATGAGTTGTACTACTCACCTAAGCAGGTGGTCCTATTTGTTTCTTTGTTGTACCACACCAGTTCCATAATCCTGAGATGGTGTCCAGTGTCAAGTGAGCCGACCACATTTAATAATACATCACCAAGTTGGGATTTGGGGACTTAAAGAGAAGGGATAGATATCTATTTCTGTGTAAACCCCATCTCACGTGTACCACTGTTCCAGACAAATGCTGCAGAAGCAGGGACGTCCCAACTATTCTGATGATCAAAAACAAAATTTGATATAGTTTGAAGTTTTTAAATTTGATTAAAAATATTTTTTTTTATTTTTTAAAATAAAAGGGTATAATGGTCAGAAAAAGTGGAGATCAAGGTAGTTACCGAAAAGGGTATCCTTTTTATATATTAGTATAGATATTATAATTATAATTATATTATTATATTTGATAAATATATATATATATATATATATATCAAGTCCATGGTGTAGTTGAAACACAGTTTTCAGCAAATACTTCTCTTTGCTCTCTTTCTGCATGACGAAATGGTGATAAAACTGGATGAACAACAAAAGCAAGTATCAAGAGCTTACTTGAAATTCTGGCAACCGTGGCGTGCTCCTCTTGGGAAGTGGTAATGAAGGAGCATTCAGAATCTAGATTATGAGCATAATTAGTTAGGGGGAAATGATGGAAAAATTACAACAAAATTAACCTAACAACCAATTATAAATACAATGAGTACCAACTTTTCTATTTAATGGGCGTGCTTTGAATCTGGGGACAGCCACTGGCACTGTCACAACTTCTGCCTCTGCAGCAGTTTTTGGTCTGGAAGGCACATGTATAATATATTGACTTCAATTATGTGAGGAAGAAAAATCATTTTCATTGAGATTTTACTAAACACCGGAATAACAAACCTAATCCTTTGTGCTCTGTGAGCTGTTTCTAAATCAGGCTCTCTAGGAATAGTAATCTTAAGCTTTGAATGTCCAGAATTTTGATCAACAGTTGCAACCTGTGAGAATACATAAACATCAGGAAAACAATAAGGATGGATTTTTTGGTTCAGTTGTTTACAAAATCAAATAGGGAAAGCAATATGAATGACAAAAGTGGACAAAAAAATATATGGGACACAATATGAGCATCATACAAATCATATGAAGAATATATTTGACAAGTACAATCTACTCAAGCAATATGCATTACAAGTTTACAACTCTTACCTTCTTAGGTGTCTTGTGGACAAAATTAACTTGCTGCTTCACGTCACCAACCTATCATAGAGAAGATACAATAAGCAACTCAATTGTCCTGTCTAAAATAAATGGAATGCCAGCAATAAATTCACAGTTCATGGTTTCAAGTACTTCCATGCTACCAGCCAAACATGGGGACAAATTTAATTATAAATTTCTAGTAAACTATAATCCATTAAATTGTTCATCATGAAAAGAATCAACTAAGTTTTCATAAAGCATTTCTGATGCATAAAAATGGAACACAATTTTAACAACAAATGTTCTTTCTGATATTGTCAGCAACTCATTAGGAGTTGCACAAAATTTTACAGCACTAAATGGATTATATCTAAGCATTCAAGCAGAGATAAATGTACCAATCACTTCTTCAGTTACTAGATAGTCAAAGGCAGAAGTAGAATAGTCAAATTTACAGACCTTTTGCAATAGACCGCCTTCTAATTTCTGTCGTTTGGCAGCTTGACATTCTATCCCAGAAGAGGTAGATGAATTTATTTTTCTGTTATGATCTTGTACTTTCTGAAACCTGAGGTCAATGGAAGACTTTAGTTTAGATGATATAAGGAAAAGCAGTTTTCTTTACCATGGATTAGAAAGCTAGACTACCATAAAACATTACAGCACCAAAGAGAAAAAGTAGGGAATAAGTGCAGTAGTACTCCAGCAGTCCTACTTAATAAGAATTCATGACTTCATAACAGACAGAGCAAGAGAGCATTTAAATCAATGCACCATGTGTGCTATTACTGCTCACAATTACAAACATGTAACTAATAAAAGGAGTATTGCCGACTCGTTTCTTAGTGCATTTATTCTATTATACTTTTTTATCAGCTAAAAGTTAACGTTATAAAAAGTTGTGCATGTTTAAGTAAAATTTTTAAATAAAAAGTGAGACTCGTGTAATTCTAAAATTTTGAACAAATTTAGTATGTTAATTAACAGTGAAAAGTGTGTGAAAAATAATAATATATCGAAAAGAATGATGCTATTTGACTAATTGTTGAACTCACATACATGCACAGAGACGCACACAAAGGTACTGAAGAATGATAAAGTTGAACATCATGATGAGAGGAGAAAGAGGAAATGAAAAGTGAATGACTGAAAAATGCATCTATATTATATTATTTTAGAATAGCAAACCCAATATATATCCAAGGGAAGGAAAATAGAAAATAAACAAAAATAACTAACTATATAAGTCATATAAATCCAATACTAATAAAAGGCAACATTGACAATAAGTATATTAGAAAATGTGTGCTATCACTGCTCACAATTACAAACATGTAACTAATCAACAAAAAGAAGAGAACAAAAGAATAAGCTTGCCAACTAATCAAGTGTTGCTTGACTGATTGATTTTCACTAATAATTCATGCCTTGAACCATGACAATAGACAAGTTTCTCCAGTGATCACCTTGAGCTAACACTTTGGAGGGGCCGATTTTGCTTAGCCAACTGACTAGCAGTAGGTTTCATTAGTGTTGAACCCTTCATCACAGCAGTTTTTACCTTAGAATTCAAATTGCCACTGTTTGCCTTACTGCTAAAGGTCAGTCCTGGAAAGACACAATTACATGTCAAGCTCAAAGAGAAAAAATAAAAAATAGAATAAATGCTGAAACCTAATGTTTTAAACAATAGAAGCATAACTTAATACAGTTCACAACAAAAAATGCCGTGGCACAAGAGATTATTACATAATTAGGTTCACAATTCAAACAACAGGATGAGTGAGGAAGGATTACAAGATGCTCTATGGCAAAAAACATAAATCTTTGTAAGACTGTCCCCTCCTTACTTAACATCATCTATCATCCATCATGCTATCCATAAAATTCACCTGTAGTTACTTGCAACAGTTGCATATTAACATCCCTAGAAACTCCGCCAAGGAAAGCAGAAGTGTTACCACCCTCTCCTTTTGAACCTGTCAAGTAAAAAGCATCAGTGAGCCAAGAGCCATGCCCTTTCCAACACAACACAACAAAAAATTGGAGAAAACTCTCCTTCTAGTCCTGAGATTGCAAACGTAGGCCATTTTCCACTATCGTTTTGCATAAAAAACACTAGATTAATGCGAATGTCGTTCTATAAAATCAGGATTACGATTAAGTCAATGATTAAAGTGACGAATGAATGCTCACAACTCTAGAAATTTGAGTTAAGATTGTGTTTACCAAGCGCGAGAGTAAAATAAAGAAGAAAATTGCATACCGCCATGGTGAAAGACGGTGCGGGAAACGGTGCGGTCTGATTCTGGATAGGTGCAAACGTCGTCGTCTCTCACCACAAGCTTCGCCACAAAAGCTGAACAAGAAAAAGGTGATTACCAAACAAGGCACATTTACGAAAAAAAAATGAAAGAAAAAAAAGAAAGAGATGGTTAAACGGACGAGAAGGAGGGTAGCTTCCGGCGGATTGAAACCATAGTTCGGCTTGGCGAGCTTGAGCAGGAGATTCTTGTGCACTGAAATCGAAGAATCGAACTGCGTCGAACTCGTAATCGAAGTCAATCTGGTGAGCAACGAAGACTTGGTGCTCTATTTCCATATCTTCCTCTTCCATCATCATCATCATCATCGCTGAAGCTGAGATAGGTTTTCAGTTTTCATTCAAATGGCAACTGGCAGCACCGTCATCATTAGAGTGATAAATAAATATTTTGTGAGGTTCAAAGTGATGAACTGAAAGAATGGATGGGCAGTGTTGAACATGAAAGGAATAGAAATGGAAATTGAATATATTATTTAATAGAAATAGAAATGTAGTGATCTAATAGAAATAGAATACCCTGGCAGTGGCATCCATGGGTTGCGGTGGGTCCCGCAGGGAGTAAGTGAGTAACGACCAACGATCCAAAATTTGAATTGTATAGGAGAGTGTGTTTGGACCGATTCGTCCTTTGGATATATCTTACAATGTGAATCTCTGCTTTGGGCTGCGTTTCGTCATTTCGTGTGGTCACTGCTCAGACCCTGCACGATGCAAACTCTCATTTCGGCGCCTCCTCGTTTATCCATCATATTTGCAAAATTCTCCCTAACGGCTCTCTTTCATTGCTTTTGGGCTGGGCCGAGGCTTGTTCATCGGCCTATATATGCAATCTGGTTTATGATATATACACCTCTTTTTTTTTCTATAAGTACACCTCCTTTTTAAAACAAAAATAATTAAAATTTAAAATATTCTTAATTTTTTTAATTTTGTATTTTGTATTTTTTAATTTTATATTTACAATATTTAATTTAATATTTTTTTTTCACATATTTTCTCTCCTTTTTTAATTTTTACATGCATTCCCTTACCTTTCCTTCACCTCACTTATTTTGGTAGCATGTGAAAATTAAAAGAGAAAAAAAAGTATGTGAAAAAAAAAAGAAAAAATTAGCAAATTGAAAGTTAAAGATATAAAATTAAAATTTTTTTTTAAAAAAAACTATAATATTTTATATTTTTTTAAAATAAATAAAGGAGGTGTACTTATTAAAAAAGGAGGTGTATTTATCATGAGTCATGCAATCCAAAGGAAGAAAATATATATTTATACTAATATATAAAGGGGATACCTTTTGTGGTAACTACCTTGGTATCCACTTTTCTTGATCATTATACCCTTTTATTTTAAAAAATTATAAAAAAATTTAACCATAGATAAAAAGGATACTTCAGTTTGGTTTCCACAAATTTTATGACTAATTTACCCTTTATTAATATGTTATCTTCCTTAATTTATATAGATATAACCAACAATAAAAAAATTCGGGTTTTAAAATCAGACATGTGTCTTTCATCTCCTTCACTTTTCAAACCCACCCACTACTCTCACATTCATAGCTTCTCTCGAACTCCCGATAACTTCTCATTGTACGTTACAATTTTTTTGGTATTTGGGCAAACCAAAACCTATCCTAAAAATTCATGCGGATTGTTATTTCTTCCTTCTGACTTATTGTTGTGATGATTTATTATCTTCCATTATAGGTGTTTCGACATATATAAGTTCAAATTCGTCCTCGTGATACCCAGGTGAAATCTTTTAGTATTTTTTTTTTTTGGTATAATTCATTTATACTATCAACGTAATTAACAAATTCAAAATTTCGGAGACCCATTCATTGCATTGCAACACCTTCTATCTTTCTTTGTAACCATTTCAATTTTTCATTCACATTTACATTTTTATGTTTTGTTGGGTCAATTGCATTGCATGCTTTCATTTTCAATTTCGTCTTTTTACATCATCGAATTGATTTTTGGTGTTTCATACTATCAAGATTCTCTTAGTTTTCGTGCTTTCCTTTCTATGCTGATGGTTTTTATTTTACGTGATGAATATCTATAACAATAGATAAAGGGAATACATGAGTTTGGTTTCCATTATTTTTAAGACATTTATATCCTTTTTTAACTGCATACGCTTTTACTTAATTGTATGACTGTCTTAGGCATAAATGAAAAATAAAAATGTTACGTTCAAAAATCACATCCCTCTCGCTAGAATATCTCTTTTGTTGAAACCACTTCTCTCACATTTAAAAAATGTAACCGCACATTTTAACTATCTCTCTTTTGTTGAAACCACTTCTCTCACATTTAAAAAATGTAACCGCACAATCTCTTTTGTTTTTTTTTTTTTCGTGTACCCACCAAAACACAATGGCACCAATGATAACAAATAAAAGTTCAAAAGAGATTATTAGATTAAGAAGTTGCATACGTAGAGAAACCAGGTTAAGACTTTTTGTCCTGTGAAAGTTACTTTTCTTTCTTCTCTCAATCTTCTGTTGTTATTTTAAGTTTTTCTTTTTTTTCTTGACATAAGTGATTGCATTTTAATTATTTATTTCAATACTATAAACTAGAATTTAAAGTACTGTCAACATTTTTTGTTTTTGTTGTGTTTGTGTGTGATTTTTTTATTTTTGCATTTTTGGCTTCATATGTCCCATTTGATCTTAAATTTAATGGGTTTTACTTATATTTTGCATGACTGTAGATTTTGACCAAATTTTTTATAATTTTCATAGTGATTTCTTTTTATTAATGGTGGTTTTTCTTACTTAATTATGATTTCCAATTGTTATATTTATGAACTATTCCTATATATGTCAGAAGGTTTTTTTTATTAATGGTGGTTTTTTGTTCATCAACGGTGGTTTTTTATCAATGATAGTTGGTTAGTTTTTATGCTTATATTGATCTCTCAAGGTAACCGGAAGGATATTTGTCGGGAAGTGAAACAAAATGTGAAACCAACAATTAAGAGCACAGATGCACCACTTTTACCACGTTACTGTTTTCAATTTTGGTTTCACTTTTTAAAATCATTTTACCCCAACTCAACCTTCTCTAATAAAAAATAACAATTCAACGAATACAAGTAAAAAATTCATACGTTCATTTCTTACTCTATGAATTTCACACTTTATGTAAAAGCACTAACTACCCTTTTCTCCTTTGATTTTCTTTTTTTAATTTATCTTTATTTTCTTTGATGGTTGGCATATAATAGGTTTTACTTGAATGAAAGCAAGTAGCAATCCTCGGGAGGCCAAAACAAATATTTGTGTTCTATTTTTTTTTGGTGGCAAAAATGTAAAAAGATAAAAAAAAATTCAAAATTAATCTTGCATTGAAATTTCAATTCTTTATGATATTATTTTCTTTACTTTTAAAATTTTTAAAATATTTATTGTTTAGTTTTATTTTTTTGCAGATTCAAATTTAACTCACAAAGATAAATCAACATTCTTTTATTAAGTAAGTGAGTAGTTCTTTCATATATATAATATATACAATCATAGTTTTAAAAACTGGATCGGTCATCAAACCGGTTAAGGTACTAGGTCAATGGGTCAAAGGTTGAACCGGTGGGTCACTAGGTACTACTATTCTCATTTCATTCCCCTGTTTGGCGAAATTCTTGAAACTAATGAATCTATACTTCTATACTAATATATAAATAGGATATCACTTTCAATAATTACTTTTAGTTTCCATTTTCACATTAATCATTTTATCTTTCGTTTATTTTTTAATAACTACCTTTTTATGAGTAATTTCTCATTGTTTTAATTTTTTTTTTCTTTTAATACAATGCACGCACGCACGGAATGCCTTTTTTATACTCAAGATTTTTTTCTCCCTTTTAATATTTTACCAGATTTTTTTTACTAAAAAGTCCTTCAAAATCTCTCTAATACAACAATCCTTTAAAATCTCTATATTTTTGAATATCAATAGATTGTTTTTAAGTTGTAAAAAGTCTCAAATGAATACTAATGAATTTTAATGGACTCTTTAAAAAATCTTGAAAATCCAGATTGAATACTACTGGATTGTTTTTAAGTGACAAAATCCTGATTGAATACAAACAAACTTTTTTACTAAAAAAAAAACTTTTAAAATCCTATAAAATTCTAAATCAATACACCTCCTTAGTAATTGTTTTATATACATTTTGATAAAAATTCCTATATTTAATAAATTTATTTTTCAATTATTAGTTTAATGAATATAGTTATTTAATAAATATAACATTTAATATTATTTAGATAAAGTATTTATTTATATGTATAAAGCATTACATTAATAACTTTTAATTAGTACATTAATGTTTTAGTAATAAATATCAGTTAAGTGAACAATTTAATTTTTTGTTAAATATAATTAAGTCTATTAAATTTTTATTAGTCTAACTATTACGATAAAATTCATGTTTCGACCAATAACTAATATGTTAATTCAAGTCTACTTTATATATAAATTATTTTGCTTAAAGTTATAACGTATTTTCTGTCAAAAAGGAAGAAGAAAAACTTGAGGACATATTTCATTATTATTTTTTGAAATTTTAGTTATTAGTAAATATATTTAATTTTTTTTTGAAAAGAAAAAGGGACACCATTTTTTAACAATAATGAAAACATGCAGAATAGTAAAAATCCTAAACTACCATAGTCACAACGACAGGCAGAGCGCCCCCAAAACAGTCCAAAACCCCGAAAAAGGTATTCAGGTAAAAGAAAAAGGACAACATTGACACATTATACTAAAATATTCGTTGATTAATTTTGACACAACATTCAATTTTATTGATGAACAAAAAACCACCATTAATAACTTGAAACTAACGAATCCATACTTCTATACTAATATATAAGTGAGATATCACTTTTAATAATTACTTTTAATTTCCATTTTTCTATTAATCATTTTATCCTTTATTTATTTTTTAATAACTAATTTTTTATGAGTAATTTCTCATTGATTTAATTTTTTTTTTCTTTTAATATAATGCACGCACGGAGTACCTTTTTCCTGCTAGTATTAATAAATTTTTGTTTTATACACTGTAAAGAAAACTTACTTTTTATTTTTAAAAAATTTTAAGAAAACATATACGTTTTGTACTTGATGAAAGGTAAAAATGTACTTTTTTTGTTAAATAAAATATTTTTTTTACACTAATTAAATACAATATTTTTTTGACACCAATTAAATACAATATTTAAGAATAAAAAGTTACATATTTTTGAAAACTAAAAGATATTTAAGTTAATAATTCAGTTTTAAAATGAAATACCTGTTTTTCTTTAATTAGTCTAAATTACATTTTTGGTCTCTTATAATATCAAATTCATAATTTTTGTTTCTCTATTTTTAATTATGTAATTTTAGTCTTTGCAATTATAAAATTTACAATTTTGATCTTCTTGTTAAATGTTCATCTATTGATAATTAAAATTATAATATTAGTCATCACATGACATTAAATAGATACATGACATTCAAAATTTAATAATATTTATGATAAATTTGACTTTTAACTCATTTTTATCTTATAAAATTAATAAAATAAAATGAAAATAAGATAAAAATGAGATCTTAAATTATTATTTAGTCTAAATATTATTAAATATTAATAATCATGTCATTTTCT